ATGTAGTAAAAGTTCATGTGCCGCTTTATTATCAAGTTGTAACATTTCTTTCTTCGCCAAAAAAAAAGTTTTTTGTTGGATTGAGCGAAGGAGCTTCAGGATGATGTTGGTTAGTCTACGGCACAATTCATCGGTGTTTAACTCTCTAGCAAGACAAGGATAGCTTTCACCTCTTCTTATCCACTTCGAATGTTTCAACTCTGTCAAAATTTTTTATTTGGTTCCTTTTCGTACTGCTTCATGGACATTTGACGGACAGGAGACCACTGGCATCAATTTTCTCCTGGCAGTAGCGTTCCCCAAATACAGAGCACTGGGACCGAAATGGAACCGGATCATTCCAATTTGCAATAAAAGTGTGTAGGAAACTTTTTATTTTTGAAAACGGATTGCAAATTAGTACTTTTTCTTTTAATATTCTCCATCAGAGAAGGTTCGTATATAGGTATTTTTTTAATGCAACGCTATAGCACTGTTACAGCGGACAAAAACGTATATTGTTGAAAGGCATGCGACATGTGAACTTTGTCACCCACTTTCAACACAAGAAATGGGAAGCTTGGAGGCTGGAATTTTGCGGGCTTCATGTTACCTTTATAACTAAAAATACCTCTCATGCACGACTGAATCTCGTGTACGAGCGTTGAAAAAATATGCATATTTTGTGACGGGAAAACGGTTCCGAGAACCAGACAAGCTAAAAAGCCGAGATTTTACACTGATACTCTCTGTCCATGTGTGAACTAAAATTTCAGTTTTAGTTATTGTGCATACCTACAAACTCATACAGTCGCACCCAAATCCTTAGCTGACACCGTGCCAGTTCGAAAAGCTAATTCAGAAACCCAGGCTGGAAAGCGCCAGGCTAGCTGGTGCGATCATGTGTTTTTGCAACAGTCGTGAAGTAATTAGGTCATGTGCATGAGCGGTTGTTTCTTCACACCTACCTTTTGTGCTTAATACCATAAATAGTCTAAATTTTGCATAAAAGGAAATAAATTTCGCTTTAGCGGTCGTTTTTTGAAAATGACTCAGCTGTTCAATCAGGAATTTTCCCGCCAAAAATTTAAGTGCCCTTACACGAGAACTACGAGTAGCTGAATTTGAATCCTTTAAGTTGTATTTGGCCAGGGAATATTCTTCTAAAATCTCAGCCTCCCAGCTTTCCTGGTTCCCGAGTTAACCGCTTTCTTTCTAACAAATTTCACGAGGCTGTAGGTGAGAACCACGCGTGCCTGGGGGCTGAATTTGGTAACTTTAAGTTGTACATGGGCTGGAAAAATCATAAAATATCAACCTTCCAGCTTTCCTTTTTCACGAACTAAACTTCTTTCCGCCAAAAAAATTCATGGGAGCGTACGTGAGAACCACGCATGCTTGGGGTCTGAATTCGATAACTTTAAGTTGTATGTGTGCCGGAAACACTTCCCTGGAAATATTAGCCTCTTAGCTTTCCTGGTTCCCAAGTTAACGATTTTCGCGCCAGGAACTCTCACGGGGCCGTATGCGAGAACCACGCACACCGTATGCGAGAACCACGGGTTTAAAATCTTTGAGTTCTATGCGGACGGGGAGCAGATCTCAAAATTTTAGCTTTCTGGCTTTTCTCGTTCCCGAGTTGGCATTTTTCCCGCCAAAACTTTTACCCTCTCGTACGCAGGGCCCAGACTTGCATGAGGGTTGGTACCGCGGTCCTGGGCTGGCAATTGCCCAGGGAACCCACTAGCAAAATTTTGGCGCCGGAGCTTGCTTGGTTGTCGAGTTGAAATACCCAGGCAGACGAACACACACACACACACACACAAACAAGCATACACACACAGACAGGGTCGTCGCGATATGCGTTTTTGCAATTTGCATATAAGCAAAAACGCATAATTAGCAAGATGACGCTAGCTGAAAATTTGTCACGATATTTATCACCTGTCTGGGAAATTAATACCTAAACGAGTTCCGATTTGCGCTTGCGCTAGGGCAAGATATTGTTACGCTTCCCGGAAAAGCTGCTAAGCTACAACTTTGCAAATTGCCTAAATGCAGGTTGGAGGTTAAATTACTTTCACGTGGACATGGCAAACACTCAGTTTTACCGCAAACTCAAAAGTGAATGCGTTTTGAGAACTCCGTTATCCTCTTCTAGCGTCCTGTGCTCAAATTTGTGTTTGTTGATGAATAGTCGCTCACCGGAGGAACAACCGGGCTTCATGCAAAAAATTGGTAATCATGCACGCTGCGGGTTCTCGGGGCTCCATGGTGCAACACTATCATCCTAGCTGCGTCTTTTCTCCCCGTATGCAACAAAAGGCCAAAACATTGCCAAAACGATTCTATGTGCTAAATCTGAACGCAAAACCATTTCAACTGTTAACGATCTGACTGCTGGCAAAAAGGAGTGATTGCACCGACAAGCCTAAGGCTTTGTAACCTGGCTTTAAATTACTGCATAATGTACTCGAAAAAGTTAAACATTCCATCAGCTTATTCATAAATACCCTTGAGAGAGAAAGCTATCGGCAACCTCGTCATCTCTGGCTGCTACTGGTACTTGCTACAAAGAAACTACTTTCCATTTCTTTGTCTTTCACAAAGGGTGAATAAGAGCGGGATTTTAACTTTTGATAAAGCTAGTCAGTGGGTTTTGGCAACGAAAAGGTCAATGGCAAACTTTTTATTTATAAAACAGTTAAAAGGTAGGAGAGGCAAACAGTTTGAGCTAACGCAGATCGAATGCAATATGTTGTGCTGGTCTATAAAACAGAAGTGCCACTTAACAATCAAGCGAACGTCACCGACGATGTCAAGCGATTCATTGAGCAGATTCCATATTTTCTAAGCAATTCAGCAACCGGACGTGCACTTGGTAAACCAATCGCCGGAACTTTTTTCTATGTTAGTCTTTTTTTCTTAAGTATTTGGATCATTGAAACATACTTTGGTCTTTCGATAACGATTCTTAAATTTTTTCACACTCCTTCACTTATTACGAACCAGATTCAAGCGGATTGTGAATGATAGGTGAAAATTTTAGAATGAAAATACTAATTCGGGGACCGGAAAAGTTAGAAAGTTAAAGTTTTAAAAAACTTTTTACGTTGGCAAAAATTTGGCATACCAGGCGTCTAGGCGCGCAACAACGTAGGGCGACACCATTGTGGAGTAGTAAAATGCTCCTAAAGTTCCAGCCTCCCAGCTTTCTTAATTGCTGAGCAGAAAGTAGGCGGCATAGTCCGTTTGCCTCTAAGCACAAACACACACACACACAAACACGGAAACCTTTCGAAATTAGACGTTTTTGCGTCTGCATAATATGCGAAAACGCTCTAAAATTCTAAAGTAAAACTGTCTTTCATCAAATAATTAGCCGCTTTTAAGCGTTTTTCATGCAAATGCAAAGACACATATCGGCAAGAGGCTGAATGTTTCTGTATGTTTGTGTGTTCGCATCTTTTGCCACCCACTTTGAACTCGAAATCCAGAAAACTACAAAGCTGAAACTTTGGGAGTAAGCGCGCACCACCTGTGCCACCCTTCAACTTTTGGCCGGAAAGCGATTTCGGACACCTACCAAGACAGAGAGCTGAAACTGTGCAGGGGTTTTTCTGTGCGTTTGTAGGCTAAAGTTTTCAAGTTCAATACTTAGGTGTACGTGGTTCTCAGGTACGCGCACGTGATGTTTTTAGCGGGAAAACTGCTAACTCGGTAACCAATAAAGCTGGAAGGCTGAAATTTTGAGGGTGTGTCCCCCGTCCAACTGTAAATTAAAGATTTCAAATTCAGCCTCTAGGAATGCGCGGTACTCACGTATGGGTACTTAAAGTTTTGGCGGGAAAATTGTTCACTGAACAGTTCGGCCATTTTCAAAGAAAGACCGTTAAAAGGAAGTTATTCATGCCCTTTATACAAAATTTACGATGATTTACGCCAGTGAGCGCACAAGGTAAATGTAAAGCAGTAAGCATTCATGCATTTAACGACCTAATTACTTCAAGTCTGATGCAAAAATATATGGTCGCACCGGCCAGTCTGGTGCATTCCAGCCTGAGTTGCTAATCGCAAGAACGCATGTTCGCGTCAGCAAACCTGATACACGGCGCTACAGGTTCTTCCCTTTCAAGCAGTTTTGGCACTTAAGAAATTTCTATAAAATGCTCGGCTTCTTTTATTTTTGGGCGCCAATCTGCTTTCTTTTCTAGGCCTCTGCCACGGGCCTTAAAATTTTAACTGTTAAATGATTCGGTTTGACATATTTTCAAAAAACCAATACGAGCTTTTTATAAACTGTGATTTAGCACCTAATTCCAATTCCAGGTGACTTCGCAACGGACACTGTTCCAGGTGCAACCATCATATAAGCAAACGACAACTCGCCACCCTTATACACTTCCTTCGTTGTCCACAACTGTATATCATACTTTCGCTTTTAATGTCTTATTTTTCGTCATTATTTGTTATCAAATTAACCGAATGATTTGTCCGGGATGAACAAGTTCCTCCCAACTCAGATTTTCTTGCTCGACATGTTGAG